GGGAGGGGAGGGGAGGGGACGGGAGGAGAGGAGAGGAGATACATGGAGTTGACATGTGATCACCATCCGTCATGATCCATGTGGATGGACGTATCAGGTCATGTGATACAGAAATGACACTACCTGTGTAGTGTTTGAGAACTGGGGACTAGTTTCGGGATTAGCGTTTGCTGTTTTGGAGAAGCAGGGAACATGGAGGAGTGCGGGACGATACTTTTTATATGTGTGCAGGTAGCTGAGTTAGGTTAACCACGAGTGAGGTCCAGAATGATTAGTGGCTCTCGCTTCATGAGGTATGACCGGTTTGTTCCTGCACCCCCTTTGGGGGGTGCTAACTCGCAAAACCTCTCAGATGAATGGCGCGAGAGGGCCGTTCACGCAAAGAAAGAAAACACGTTGGGTGTACAGAGTGCTGCTTCTGCCAAGGGGTGCGAGTATATGCTTACGGGTAGGCTCGCGGTAGCTCGTATAGTTGAGAACATCAGAATGCCATTTCCAATGCTTCTGCACCTGGGAACTCTTCGCCTTCACTGTGTGTGACGGCCTGTACTGCGTGCAACTGCACGCATCAGACGAATCTAGCATTCGAGCAAACACATTGCCTGGTTCAAACCTGGTTCAAACCTGGCTCAAACCTGGTTCAAACCTGGTCCACTCACTACACAGGTTCAAACCTGGTTGAAACCTGGTGCAAAGATGGTCCACTACATACAGGTCATGCCTATCTGGGGGTGGAACAACAATGAAGGGTAGTGAAGCGAAGTGGGGGGGAGGGGGAGGGGGGAGGAACCAACTTCACAGGGGGAACAGGGTAAACAAATATTGCCCTGACATACTGTTCTCATTTGCAAATATAGCCCTCACATACTAGGAGGAATGTTTTCATGACCGGCCGGTCACCCGAGCATGATGCCCAGGAGGGTCTGACGCCCGGGATACCCGGGCATGGAAAAAAAAGAAAAAAAAAAAGGAAAAGTGGTGGTGGGGGTTTTCCATGCTCTCCGAGAGGTCAAATCTGGGCTCTTTTCTTTTTTTTAGTGTTGGCTGTCAAGGGGGGCGAAGGGGAGTATAAATGAATTTTAAAGGGGCTAAAGGGGTTTAAAGGGGAGTGGCTTAGTGTGATTTGGTTATTTTCTTTTTTATATTTCAGTTCCTTGAGGAATTCTGATGTGACCCTCAGCCAAAAGTTGTTTGTATTGCAATTCTACACAACTTTTTTTTTTTTTTTTTTGCGATTGGGCTGCCCGGGCCCATACCCAGGGGTCATGCCCGGCCGGTCACCAGGTCGCGAAACCCGGGCATGGCGTCGGGACCGGGGCACCTGGGATATCTCCCTACTAGGTAATATACCTTTTTCGCTAAGATGAAGTGTAGTATGACGTATCTGGTCTGTGTTTTAGCCTGATAGCTTCTGATCCTTAGTCCACCAGGCCAAAAGAAGAGGGTGAATGTACGCAGGTCTGGACCTGGTATGGACAGCACACACACCTTCCGCAAAACCTTGTGTCCATGTCATTCACACTCAGGAGCGGCTTCATGGTCTACACACAGCATGCATGCAGGGTCTGCTGACCCATTTATGAACCTGGTCTGTAGGGCACAAAGGCATGCATGCAGGGTCTGCAGTCCCATTTGTGAACCTGGTCTGTAGCGGCACAAACCAGGTGCAAGCGCAAACCAAGGTAAGGACAGACCTGCAACGCCAGTATGTGCCCGTCATGCCTAAAACCTCGTCCAATGTGGACCACACCTTCCGCAAACCTTGTGTCCATGTCTTTCACACTCAGGAGCGGCTTCATGGTCTACATACAGCATGCATGCAGGGTCTGCTGACCCATTTATGAACCTGGTCTGCAGGGCACAAAGGCATGCATGCAGGGTCTGCAGTCCCATTTGTGAACCTGGTCTGCAGCGGCACAAACCAGGGTCCACAATGCGAACAGATCCAGGATGGTGCAAACCACCTGGTATGGAGGACAGGCGCAGCATGGACATCTAGGAAGGCATGCAGACACAGGTGTGAACCTGGATGAAGGATAAAAATTTGTTTCGTTACTTTCGTACCAAATGGCTCAAACCGTACATCAAGCCCAGGTTCAAACAAGCAGTATTGAGGACATAGATGTGGAACAAATGCCTGCAGGTTCCAAGTCCAGCTTTTGCTGGTGGGTCAGCAAGCTGGGCAGACAGATCCAGGATGGTCCAAAGACTCCAAACCTGATGTGGCGTACATCCACCCCAGGTGCAAGCAAGCAGTATCGAGGACGTAAATGCTCAGGTCCAGCGTTTGTTGGTGAGCCACCAAGCCTGGCAAACAGATCCAGGAGACCCAAACCTGGTATGGAGGACGACCCTGGTCCAAACCAGGTGCAAGACGTGGATATGTAGAATATCCAACTCATGAAGAGAAAAAACCGTTGTGAACCTGAATGCAGGGTATTTCAAGACCAGGTTCAATCAAGAGGAAACCCCGTTGTGAACCTGGATGCAGGGTATTTCAAGACCAGGTTCATTCATGAGGTATTTCGGACATCGATGTGTACCAAGTGGTGCAGGCTCTGATCCACAGCTTTTACGGATGGTCCAAGGCAGCGATTTCATTATAGATCTGTTTTTCTGGATGAGCTTGGGGCGCACAATCGATCTGATACATTTAAAATGTTGGATTCCTATGATTGCACCTGGTCAAGAAAGGCGTGCAAATGCATGTAGAGAATGTTGAGTAGTCGAGCAAAGCCCAGAGAGAGTGGGAGTGTGGGAACGGGAATATGCGAGGTAGAGTCTTATAGACAGGTTAAAACAAAAGGCAGCCAGTCACCCGATTCCCAGCTATATGAATAGACGAAGTGAAGCTGGGTACTGCTCCCGGTCGTTTAAAAAAGAAAGCTAAGCCGGGTAATGCTCACGGTCCTTTAAAAAGAAGAAAAAAAAAAAGAAAAAAAAAAGAGAGAGAGAAAAAAAAGAGTGACAGAGTTGGAAGTGGTTGTGGTGCACATGTTTGTGTAAGATTTTTTCTGAACTTTCCGCAAAAGGAAAGTACAAAACCATTTTTGGAATTTTCGGCTTTTGGAAATGCTTCTTGCAAACACTCTAGTTAGAAATTGCTTTTTTTTTTTTTTCGGTTAATAGTAATTAGTAATTACTATTGCGTGCCCATCCTGCCCTCACCCGTCCCACTCCTCCCCTCCCCCCTTAAGAGTCGCACCGCTTTTCCGATCGTTTCCAGTTTTTCATATTGTTTCATGACACGTGGAATCCTTTCGCGTGATATGTGAGGACAACCTATTTTTTGGCTCTTGTTTTTTTTTTATTTTTTTTATTTTTTAATCAGACGACGATCTCTCTTTCCATTGCCGGAAACCGGGTCCGGCATCCATTACACTTTTGCCGTGGCATATCGGGCTGGGCAAGGCACTCCCGGCCAAACCCATCCCTGCCACAGTGAAAGACCCAGCTGGACCGTTCATCATGAAATGAAAGACAAACAACCAACAAATTCAATCTGAAGCAAAACATGGCCCCTGCGCAAGGATGACACGCATAAATTGAGAAATGGTCCAATTTTTTATTTTTTTTTTGGCTGGTGCTGTTGTGGAAATTCTGGCGATCAGAAATCACATGGAGTAGGRGGGGGGGGGGGGGGGGGGGGGGGGAAAWCAMATGGRGAAGTGGCCCACAGCTCCTTTTTCTTTTATTTTTCCGGCTTCTTTTTCATGCGCCTCGTAAATCATAGAACAACCGAATAAGAAAATCCCAGAGGAAAAGGCACCTAAAATGAAATATTTTAATCCAGCCTCTGTAGAGAATTCAGAATTTCGTTTCGTATCAAAGCAGCTCTTCACATTAATCATTCCGATTATTATTTATTAACTATGGGGTCATTGATTAACAATCGCTTGCATAGGCACAGCCGCAGATGCGCTCGTGCCTGGATCATACGACACTGGCTGCCCTTTTTTTTGGAAAAAAAAAGAAGAAAAAAGCCGAGGGTATCGCAGGTGACAGGCATGTACTTCTCACACCTACCCCTTTTTTTCCATCGGGGGTTCAAATCCCAAACACAACAGGTTGGCCTTTTCTGCTCTTCATGTTGAATTGCCGCCAGTTTTGCCTTCCCATGAGCTTGTTCCCTCTAATTCGCCTAAGTGCGGCCTAACCTCCTCCTCCCCCCTTCCCACCCTCCCTTTTTCGCCGTGAACGATGCGAGCACCACCCGGAGTACAAGTCCTCTCCTGCCTTTCATCCCAGGCACACGCATCTTTGGCTGTCTGCTGGGTTCTCCTTTTCGTCTAGACCCCTTTCAACCCCCTTAGACTTTGCTATGTTAAATTTGAAATTTCTGTATACATTATTCCTCCTGTTTGCTAAATGTCACTATCTGGGTTGTCCTTTTCGTCTATACCCCCTTAAGGACCCCGTTTCCATTCTAAATTTATGTATAGAGTATTCCTCCTCCTCTGTCTTTGTTCCTTTCACAAATCTATTTCACGCATTGCCGAAAAACTCATTTTTTTTTCTCGTAAGTCTCTCCTGTTTGCTTGGAATGGAGCAATCCCACTCCCGCTCTTCTACCCCCTTCTCCCTTCTTCCCTTCACCCCCCTCCCCTTCCTCCTGTCTCTTATACACATCTAGATGTGTATAAGAGACAGGTCCGTTGGCACTAAGTGCGCCGCAGGCGGTCAC